AACTGGAAAGCCGAGTGAAGTGCAAGCTAATACAGGTAAAACTCCATGGTTTTCAATTCTTTTTCTCACTCTCCTGTGGAAGTGTCCTAACTTAAATCACAGAGATGCATGGCCTGAATGCTTTATGGCTTTAGGGGAAAAACCAAAACTGTTGTAAATTACTTCTGTTTCTGTGACTTTTGTGCAGAATCTGTCTTGAGTGAATAGAGAAATGTAGCTGGGAAGTAGTGGGTGTATCAGAAGTACTGAAAACCTATTTTTTTTCCCCATGTGTGTGGAAGTGAGACTGAATGGAAGCAAGTGACTGTAAATAGTACAGTTAATGCAGGAGACATACTGATGTTAGCTAAGGACTGGTGAATATAAAGTCAGTAGCCAATTGATACCATGTGAAATTTTCCACTGCACACCAAAAGAAATGACAGAGCTTAGAACTAAAAGAACTGTCTAGATCCACACAGATAACAAGCAGAAGTGTCACTGAAGAGTCAGATCAACACACAAACAACTGCAGGAGGAAGACATGCACCCACTCACTCAGGTTTTGTTGGACTATCCTCCAGTGGCACTCACTTAAGAGACATCTGGGTTTGGTAATATTCAGACCCAAAAAGCTTTCATCCCTGTCCCAAGCCAGCACAGCGTGCTTGATTGTGTCACAGCTGTTTGCTCTCTCTGACTGTGAAGAGATTGTGCCTTAGCCTATTTCTCATGGATTAGTGGAGTGTTGCATTTTGCTTACCGCAGCTATTCCAGTCTTTTAAGCCCCTCTCTCTTGTTCTCTCCATTCATTTTGCTCAAAGCATCCTCCACTATGCACATTCACACAGTGACAGTGGTACCTACACCGATGTGATATTGCAAGTTCAGATGTGGTACAGACTGAGGCACGAGGCACACCAGTAGATTTATCCTTGTTCCCTCTTCCTCATTCTCTTGTGCAGCCTTTTATTGATCTGTCTTGCTAAAGCAAACTTGCCAACTCATATCTCATTTTCGCTTAGCTGTCAGCATCCAGAGCATCGGTACAGGTAGCACATGACATCAGAAGTAGTACATATATTAGTACTCAGAACAGACCTGGGGCAGTTGGAGTTCCCAGAACTGCAACCAGCATGTGTTCTGTTTATCAAAATCATCTGGGTAACAGCAAGAGGCAAAATTAATGCAGGAGGTGCTCAGCACTGGGCGGGATCAGCCTTCTGAGAAGGAAACTGGCTCAACTGTTTTAACGACTTCTTCCTCTCCCTGCTGTCACTGAAGTGCTGCCTGGGGCAGGACAGAGCTACGCAACATGATGTTTAGTCAGCCTGTATCACAAAATTGTCCATCTAGGTAATTGTGAAGTTCACCGTCTTCACTGTGAACCTGCTCAGGCTGTGTGTAGTGCAAAGCCATACGTGCACATTTGCTGCCTGAACATCAGCAGACAGCAAAGCCAGCCCCAGGTGCGTAGACAACAGACTCTGATAGATTGGATGCTTTTATGAAGATGTATGAAAGAAATGGGTGACAAATGTATGGAATGACTCTGATGTTGACAGCATTGCTCACACAACATAGTGAGCTAGAAAAGTGTTTTCCATGCATAGGTCAAAAAGAAAAAAAAATTGGGAGGCAACATTCAATCCCCAGATTTAGCAGTGTATGAACCTAAGGATAATGCCTTTAGTAAGTGGTACATGGCTTAGAGGACACACAAATCTGTCCTGCTTTTCGGTTTCCTACGATATGGTTGCTCTTGCACAAAACAAAACAAAACAAAAACCAACCAAACGTTCATTTTTACGAAAACCTTTTGATTTGACCTTAGATTCTTTATTTCACTAACTAGAGCTTCTTTACAGGAAGCAACTCACATATGAACTCCGTTTGAATTTCACCCACTCTCTAATAAGTTCCTGAAATGCATTTTATTTCATACCATAATAAAAATTCAAAATCATTCTTTCACATCTGCCCAAGGACCAGAAAGACAACCCAGGGGAAGGAAAGTGATGGTATGTGGTGCTTTGCTCTTAAAGTGCATCCTCTCTGGCTTAGTCAGATCCCATTGTGTTTGCCTCTCTGGACCTGGGCCTGCACCTCTCCCTGCTCTGGGTGTCCCACATCTCCGCCCTGTCCAACCAGCTCCCGGAACACCTATCTTCCTGCTGTCTTGCCCAGACTACAATGTGGAACAATAGCAGCTTGTCTTGGGACTTTCCCCACCTGGAGATAAAAATCTGTGCTAGATTACCATCCCTTCCTCTCCAGATAGCAATGTTCTCGTTCATGAAACAGATGTAGGAGGAGGCTCCTTCCTGAGATGAGCAATCGTGTCATGACAACATGAGCCATGCAGTTCAGTGATAGGAAATAAATAGGATATTTCTAACACCGGGGGCCACACTTCTGGCAGTGTCAGCTGAACTTTAGATTTCTTTTCTTCCCCTTTGGTCCTTTGTGGTCTACTGGCAGAAAGCTGTGAGGATTTCTGAGTCAGACCGATGCCTGTAGTTACAAAATTCATGGGTTTTATACTTCTAAGGAGTATCTTTCTTTTCAATTTCCCTTTCTTGAGCTCTCTGCAGTACAGGAATACCCTGTAGGCATGTCTTTCTAGAAGCATGCACGTGCTTGTGAGTACATGGCAACTACGAGAAAGTAGTGTTTGAGATTTGTCCTTCGTCCTCTTTTCTGCAGAAGACATTTGTCTTGATTTCTGCTCATAAGATTTTTTTTAATAAGTATTTCTACCTCTTCCCCTTGTAAGTTTTAAAAGGAGGGAGGGAGGGAGGGAGGAAAGCTGGGAAAGTGAAAGGGAGAAGGAAAGAGAAAGGGAGAAGACAAAGAGAGGAAGAGGAAGAGGAAGAGGAAGAGGAAGAGGAAGAGGAAGAGG